AAGATGCAGACCTACTAGAGAATGGACTTGAGGATATGGGGAGGGGGAAGGGTAAGCTGGGAGAAAGTGAGGGAGTGGCATGGACATATATACACTACCAAACGTAAAATAGATAGCTAGTGGGAAGCAGCTGCATAGCACAGGGAGATCAGCTCGGTGCTTTGTGACCACCTAGAGGGGTGGGATAGGGAGGGTGGGAGGGAGGGAGACGCAAGAGGGAAGAGATATGGGGACATATGTATATGTATAACTGATGCACTTTGTTATAAAGCAGAAACTGACACACCATTGTAAAGCAATTATACTCTAATAAAGATGTTAAAAATAAAAACAATAAAACCCCCAAAAACAAAAAATAGAACTATCATATGACCCAGCAATCCCACTACTGGGCATATACCCTGAGAAAACCATAAGTCAAAAAGAGACATGTACCATAATGTTCGTTGCAGCACCATTTACAATAGCCAGGACAGGGAAGCAACCTAAATGTCTATCAACAGATGAATGGATAAAGATGTGGCACATATATACAATGGAATATTATTCAGCCATAAAAAGAAACAAAATTGAGTTATTTGTAGTGAGGTAGATGGACCTAGAGTCTGTCATACAGAGTGATTAAGTCAGAAAGAGAAAAACAAATACCGTATGCTAATGCATATATATGAAGTCTAAAAATTAAAAACTGGTACTCATGAACATAGTGGCAGGGCAGGAATAAAGATGTAGAGATAGAGAATGGACTTGAGGACATGGAGAGGGAGGGAGAAGCTGGGGCGAAGTGAGTGTAACATCAACATATACACACTCCCAAAAGTAAAATAGTTAGTTAGTGGGAAGCAGCAGCATTGCACAGGGAGATCAGCTCGGTGCTTTGTCATCACCTAGAGGGGTGGGATAGGGAGGGTGGGAGGGAGACTCAAGAGGGAGGGGATATGGGGATATCCCCATATTCTGTTGGGGATATCCCCAACAGAACTAACACAGTATTGTGAAGCAATTATACTCCAAGAAAGATCTATTAAATAAAAAATTATTCATTATAAAAGACTTAGAAAAATGAAGAATTAGAAAGTAAAATGGTACGGGTATAGAAACTTCCAAGCAACATAAGACATTTTGTGGCATGTCACAAGTTGCATGGAAAAACCTATTCCTAAAAAACTATAGCCCTCTGAAAGTGATCCATGATAGGTTAATAGCTGTTTTCAGTTCCACAAAGATAACCTGAAAGTCCTTCAGCACTACCTACCTACCACACTTCTCTTCCATAAGAAGATGGAATAGACAGAAGGAATAATTTCATGCATAAGAGTTTAGCTGAGGGTGTCAGGGATATAGCAACAGAGGCAAAAAAGCCTCCCACACAGTGACAACTAACAGAACTTTTGAGTCAAAGTCAGTCAAAGAAACAGAGAGACCCAAGGAGAGGTTCTTTGTGCAAAACAGCAGCCCCTGGCCAATCACAGTTCATGAGTGAACACATAGTGGAAAAGACTGAATTCCATATTGGGCTCTTCAACCATTCCCACGCACTCACAGGCGATAATCACTGTCACTAATTAAGAAACCAAATGAGAATAAGAATCAACTGCATGGAAAAAAATAATTTAAAGAAAGCAGTATCATCTCTTGTCAGAAACTATACCTGCTGGAAGGGATCACCTGAGAGATAAAGCAGAGGCTATAGTTCTGGGCAAACAGATAAACTGTTTACTAGGAAACACAAAAGTTCACATAATCTTTCTCAATTGTCTACAAAACCTCACCTCCTTCCATTCTGCTCCCATCACCCCATACTTCCTAGGCTGCCATGCTGCTACTCCTCTTTTCATTTCCCAAACATTCCAGTTTCCCCCTCTTCTGTGCATTTGAATACAGCGTTCTTCTGCCTAAGAGCCCTTTTCCCTTTTCCAGTCCACCATCACTCATATATAATCTTCAGAACAGCTTAAAAGACATCTCCTTTGTGAAGTGTATTCTGACTTTCTGCTATAACACAAATTGCTCCATTCTCAGTGGCTTTACTTTAGTCCATTATAGCAGTAATCGGGCTTCCCTGGTGGCGCAGTGGTTGAGAGTCCGCCTGCCGATGCAGGGGGCGCGGGTTCGTGCCCCGGTCCAGGAAGATCCCACATGCCGCGGAGCGGCTGGGCCCGTGAGCCATGGCCGCTGAGCCTGTGCGTCCGGAGCCTGTGCTCCGCAATGGGAGAGGCCACAGCAGTGAGAGGCTCGCGTACCGCAAAAAACAAAAAACAAAAACAAACAAACAAACAAACATTATAGCAGTAATCATACTGCATGATATTGCCATTAGATTATAAAGCTGCCAAAAACAGGAATCTTAATTTGTTTGTAATTTTAGGTCTAGCATCTAATTCAGCATTTGATACACAGTAGGTGCTCACATTATTTTGATTAAAATTTTTAATAAATGTCGAATAGAGGAAATAATAATACCTGCTCTACCTACTTTACAAATGAGATACATATGTGAAAGTACTTTGAAAAGTATAAAGTACCATCTGTGTCACTGCAGAAGAGATGATGACTACAAAAATGACTGTTAGTGTCATTAGCCATTTTCATTTCTGTAGAATCTCTGCACACCTACCAAAGAGTGAGTGGAGAAAGGGAAAGGACAGAAAGCCCATTTTTACTGAGCATTGTTATGTGTCAGAAACTGTTTTAAGTCCTGGCACTGAAAGATGAGTAAGAGTTAAATATTAGGCAGAAAAGTAAAGGTAAAGTGTTTCAGGTAGACAAACAAGTGCAAAGGCCATGTAGTAGGGAGGCTGCATGACATCTGAGAACAAAGAGCTTTGCTAGTGCACAGAGTATGTTCTCAAGATGCAGAGAAGAACCACCATGTTAAGAATTTTGGTCTTGATCTTAAGCATAATAACAGAACTTTGGAGCTAACCAATTTAATGCTAACAGGTTAAATCAAGAATGCAAAAAGAGTATCTTTGGAGTCCAATTCTCTTCCCCTATTTCCTATCTCTCCCAACTGATAGGACCAGTGACCACCACTTACAGGTTTAGCCCTATTCTAAGTTCTGAGAAAAAATGTTGGTTCTTTGGGTTCCACCTTCACATAGAGCTTCTCATGACGTCTAAAGAAATCTCTTAAGAGAGACAGTATATATTTTAAGGTATAGTACGTTTTAAGGAGGTGGTATAGCACAATAGAGAGAATTTTGGACTCTGGATGTACGTCATCTGGCTTCAAATCCGGGCTCAACGTTTATAAGCTAAGTGGTCTTAGGTTGTTCTGAGAATTAAATGACCTAACCCATGTGACCAGCACACAGAAAATACTAAATGAAAGTGAGCTGTTTACTAATATTATTATGAAAGAGAAAACTTTAAATGTCCTAGACTTACTCAAGTTCCTTAATTCTTAATTCTATATTCTTGCCATCTCAAATGGGCAAGTTAAAACGTGTTGATTTCTACCACTTTTACCACAGTTCATGCTGATTTTTACCACAGTTCCAAAAACTGAACTCCTGACTTACTCCTCTGGCCTAGCTGCCACCTTCTGACTTGGGGCAGTTAAGGTGGGGAAACATTAAATTTGGAGTCAGAGGACCTGTGTTCAAAGTTCAAGCTAAAAATACCATAGCTATAATTTATGGCACAAAACTCTAGAGTCTTAATTACCTACTTCACATAATAGAGCAAGCTCTAAATTGATTTTTTAAATTAATTAATTAATTTATTTTTTAATTTTTGGCTGCGTTGGGTCTTTGTTGCTGTGCGCGGGCTTTCTCTAGTTGCAGTGAGTGGGGGCTACTCTTCATTGCGGTGCGTGGGCTTCTCATTGTGGTGGCTTCTCTTGTTGTGGAGCACAGGCTCTAGGTGCGTGGGCTTCTGTAGCTGTGGCACGCGGGATAAGTAGTTGTGGCTTGTGGGCTCTAGAGTGCAAGCTCAGTAGTTGTGGCACACGGGCTTAGTCGCTCCATGGCATGTGGAATCTTCCCGGACCAGGGCTCGAACCCGTGTCGCCTGCATTGGCAGGCAGGTTCTTAACCTCTGTGCCACCAGGGAAGCCCTAAATTGATTTTTAAAGAAAATCCTACCTCTGCCAATGGTCATGCCCTACTTTTAGATGAACAGAAATAGTTTAAAGATTCTATTTTCATTAGGCTCCTTACATGTCATAGAAGTATGTCAATCTTACCTTTAGCTAGCTCAATGTTAAAGCATATGGCTCTAAATTTATCTAAAATATCTGTAATTTATTTCCTGTCGTGAACCAGAAGCTTGGATGAGAGAAATATATTTATGAAGATATATCAAAAGTAACAGTCTGTTCACTCCAATGAATAATCAAAAATTTATCAGAGAGCTACATATCTGGACATTGTTTTGGCCTCCACAGAACTGCTTTTAAACTGTACTTTGCTGGCATCAGAAACTTCAGTGAAACTCAAGAGTTGAATTCACTGTAATAAAAACTGATTAAGTGAACAAATAATATAGTCACTTTTTTTAAGTACAATGAATAAGTTAGGTATTAAAATGTTTAATGGCACTGGTGAAGTCCAGCTCCTACCTTTTGTCCAGGATGGTTTTCCTAACCATTTATTCAATTTTATTTCATAAAGCCTACTGTTATCATGTGCTTTTGTTTAGACCTATCTGCCTCTCTAGACCAGATGGTATGAGAGACTGCCTCAAAGGAAAGAAGTGGCTATTCTATGTCTTACACTTCTGGAGAAACTGAGTCTTGATTAAGTAACCTTAAGACAAATACACATACACATCAACCTGTAGAAAATTGTTATTTCAGTGTATCCTAAAGTATAATTAATTTTAAAATTCATACTACTGGTCTAATTTGCATATCTGGTGGAGAAATACATGTGAGCAAGGTTGATATTCAACAATGACACTAAAACTTTTCATTTTTGTAAAGTTTTAAAAACACATCTAACAAATATAAATACACGCAAAAATATTTGATAAGAAGGATGATATCTGATACTCACTCTAAGCCCAGGAAATCCCGGAGGACCAATGCTACCTACAAGTCCCTAAGTAAGAGAAATGTGCAAAATTGGTTAAATATGATTCCAAACTAAGAAGGGTATTTTCTAAAGATGAAGACAAAAATTTCTAGGAAAAAATATATCAAAATTTACCTTCTCTTAGCTAACTTCTGCAACTTCCCTACTCTTATGCATCCTCCTAAGAAGTGCAAACCTCTGGTGGCAGCTTATATTCTTTAAAAGTGACCCTGGCTTCATGCTTTGAGATAGTAGGACTACCACCTAGCCTAGGATATAGATTTCTCTGTGTCTCCTATGTATCTAATAAAGGAAGTAAATCCCATTAATAATCAGCATTATAAACATAATTAGCCTATATGTAGTACGAAAAGACAAGTGGTCAGCATGTCAGGTGAGAAGAACATTTTCAGATGATTTAAAACACTATCAGCTCTTTCGAAGTACATTATTTAAATTCTCTAAATTTCTCATTTATGAAACTGAAATAGTAATATTTGTTTTCATTTTGTAAAGAATTAAAACTGTAATATACATATTATTATAGTTAATAATAAAACTCTAATATATATATATATATATATATATATATATGAGCTTTTGAAAACTTTCTTAAAGTACTATACAAATGTAAGAAATTACCAACCTTGTTAAATTATTTGTATGGGATTTAAAATTATCTATATTAATTTTTCCAGTTGATTCATGATGGGTCTTTGTGACAGTCTTAAACTCATCATTACAGTCTTTGTGATAATTCCTAATCTACTCCATGTCAGAGTTGCATCATTTACAGGTACAAAGTATAAGAATACACCCTCCCTTTATTTTTGCATTTCAAATTCTGTTTTGAAACAAAAGTACAGTATAAAATATAGAGAATAATAAACCAATAAACTGAAAATATCCAATTTATTCTTGCATTCTAAAGAAGACTCCAAATGCTCTTCCAGAAGTATTATATTTTAAATATAAGCAGCAGACTTCAAAGAGAAAATTTTAAAATATTGTTAGGAGTCTAACCCTAACAAACTTCATGCATATTTAACTGACAAAACATTAAATAAGATGGCTTCACACTAGGTATGCAAGGACATAGATGGTATTAAAGAAAAAAATGTAAATAATGCTTTACTTTATTATGCCTGAAATGCGAAGCTCCCCAGAATCATGGGCAAGAATAAGATGGTAAACATTCTACTTAAGACATGATTCAACTTTTTAACAATTTGTTTGGAAATCAGTTCTACTCTTATTTTATTTTCCAAGCCATATAACAAATAAAACTTTTGCTAAATTCACTGAATAAGCTAATACAGTTATAATTTAGAAAAAAATAAAAAAACTATTTTCACTTTATTTTAAGCATAAATGCTAATAATTTACATAGTCTAAATATAGGAACGATTCCTAATTTATGATCTAAGGATTTAGTAGTTGATTCTAATTCACCTTAAAAATCTTATGAAAAGAATGTGTACATGACATATATTGGGGGATAGCCATTTTTTGAGGGTAAAAAGTAAAGACATTTCTGCCTAGTGTCAAAAAACAGCATTCCATCACCATCCTTTGATAATATAATTAAACTAATTTTAGAATTTTAACTCCCTAATCTGAACATAGATATCTAAACAATCCTCCCAAAAGACTTCTCTATAAAATACTGAAAAGTAAGGTAGATCAATGACAGGTTTGAGTCCAAAAGAGCAATCACCAAATGCACAATTTTTACATGAGGCTTCTTAGTACCTTGATGTACATGAAAGGCTTTTTTCCCCATGCCCCTCCCCACAAATATACAAGTCAGTATCGTGATTGTATACTTCTAATATTTTAAATAATCAGTCATGTTTAACATGGTCAAAATAACTAATTTTAATGATTATCTCTCAAGACAGAATTTATAACACTTTTGTCTTATTTCCCATGCTGTAAAACTACAAAGTGGAATGTGCTCAGTGGTATCAAAACTCTCTGGCCAAGAGTGCTTGTCAGGAATGTGATAATGAGAATGCCAAGTACAGTTGCTATGAAGTCTTGAGTGATGTTAGACTGCAAGGGTGGACCATCACAATTTACTCACAGGACTGCCATCAGGACCTGCAGGGGCTCTGTCTCCAAAGTCACCTGGAAAACCCTGGCCCAAAGAAAAAAGAAAGAAATGCTATTAAAGCCAAAACAGATAAATAATTCATTTTTGCTGTGTTTTCTGATAAGGAACTTAGTAAAAGGAAATATTTATTTCCTAACCTATAAATTATAGTGCAACAAAAATGTGTATTTGTTTTACATAAAACTTAATTGATCTTAAGTACACTATTTCTATAGTTTATAAAATTATTTTACATGCCACTCAATATACACAAAAAGCTAAGCTGGAGAAAAAAGAAATTTGTTATCCATTATGTAAAGAATCACTGAATGAGAGGAAACAGAACCAAGATTTCCAGCTGACCAATCCATTAGTTTTGTGCACTATTTCATGCTGTTCCTATACACACACCACAGAGAATGAAATGCCTATTAATATTTAGCATGTGCTTAGCACACTTACCTTGGCTAAAGGCTTTATACACATTATTATATATACACTACTTCATTTCATCTTCACAGTAGGTCAAATCAATGAGTACTAGTATCCTCACTTCATAGTTGAGGAAGTTAAAGCACAGAGAGGTTAAGTCACTTGCACCCACTAGTGTTGGGTGGGACTGAGCTTTGAATGCAGGCAGTCTGATTGCAGAGTCAGTGCTTGTTCTACCATGCTATATTAAATACTTTAACTCATCATTCCAAGATACAATACAACATGTAAAAACATCATTTAAGAAAAGGGAAAATGCACATAAATATTGTAAATACAAAATGCAGTGAGATTGAAATATAAGCTTCCCAAAGGTCTATTGAGAATTCTACAGTAAAACTGTGAAGGACAGTAAATTAACACACTTCCTCATTATAAATTCTATTGTAAAATAACTCAATTACTCAGTTACTCTTGCTTTATATACTCAAAGTTTTTCTTGAGAGATTTACCATTGAGTTTATCAACTTCAAAGCTCCCTTTTAAAAAGGCTACTTTACAAAATTCTTTATAATACTTATTATGAACACTTTGACAACACTCAGTTTTAAAAACTTATAAGGCTAACAAAATAAACTACATTATTAGATTTTTATAATCTTTTATTTAGGCAAGCCAGTATTAAATATTATGTGTTCAACAGACTGCCAAAAATCACTCGTTCACTAGTATAAACACGAATGGGCTAAGTTGAAAAGATGGTTTAACAATGGAAAAAATGATATGATGTTTCTAAGACATAGTTAACTCGTACTAGGAGTGGTTTCTCTTATTTTGTAATCAGAGGATAATGCAAAAAGCATCTGTATAGTCAAACATATTGCAGCCATACCCCCTTCAAAGTCAGTTGAAATTCAGGCAGGCATTTTGCTCTCATTGTCCTTGGAAGTCAAATCCTGTTGACCATAAGCTCACAAATCTGCAATACATCATTCCATTCAGTATGAATTATTATGGGTATTTGAAAGTATTTGTGATACACAGGTAATGGAAAAAGTAGAAGAAAAATACTGTAATAAATCTGAAACATAAGAGGTGATTGATTTTTTAGATAGATCATAAGTAGGTTTTCCAGAAACCCCAGTGAAATAATAAAGAATGGGGGACATACTACATGATTCCATTAATGGGAAATGTTCAAAATAGGCAAATCTATGGAGATAGAAAGTAGATTAGTGGTTGTCGAGGCCTGGTGATGTGGTGAAGAACTGCAGAGTGACTGCTTACAATATTGGGTTTCTTTCTGAGGTGACAAAAATGTTCTAAAATTAGTGCAATGGCTGTACAAGTCTATGAATATACTAATAACCACTGAATTGTACACTTTAAAGGGGTGAATTTTATGGTATGTACATTACATCAATAAAGTTTTTCTCAAAAAACAAGGAAACAATTGGTCTGAACAAGGAGTGGGATTGCTGAAAACATCTTTGGGGACTCACTCAGGATTGCCTAGAGAATGTGCTCCTTGGGACCAACTGGCCCCCCACCCTCATCCAGTGGGAGGAGCTGCTCTCCAGTTCAGCATCCTACAGAACTAGTGATTTCTCCCTGCTAGGAGAAGGGAGAGAACTGTGATTAGTTCTCCACTTATCAAAAAGCCTGTATTTTCTACAACCAGCATAAAAACAACGAAATAAGTACTTATGGATTTCAACTTCCTATTCTTTTGGTAGTTCAATAATACGTATAATAAATATTAGCTGTTCAACTTCACTTTGCCCCCAAAACAACTTAGTTGAACTGAGAATACACCTACTTTAACATTTTTTATGTATTATTTCTCCTCTCACTTTACTATGCATTAAGTAGTTCATTTTTAACTCTCTATTCTAGATAGAGACATCTTTTTGTTTTAACCCATCTTACATGTTGACCATCGTGTCATCAATATTTGAAATAATTCCTACATTTTCTTGTTTCATGAAATATAGCACAGTTAATGCCATAAAAAGCTTCATTATATTTGGCTACATATTGGACATATATTTTCTTTTGAAGAAAATCATGCCAATGTTTTATATTGTTAAATATGTCACTGCTTGTACAATGTTATTCAGTTGTTATTTCAATTTTGGCAACTATATGCTTTTTATTTTTATTTTTTTTTTTACTGCAGGTAAAGCTCTGAATTCCTTGAATAAAATAAACCTAAGTATTTGCAACCATATATCTTCATTGTAAAAAAAAATATGATCTTAAAGGTTGGTTGTGAAATATGGAAGAGTAGTGACAAAACACTCTGCCTTCGAACTTGGAATACAAAAGACACAGTTTCTACAATTTCTTTCTCCACTTGAAAGAATTTGTTGCAAAATGAAATACTAAACTTTCTCTCATATTTACTTAGTGGAAAATTATAACCCCTAATTTAATCAAACTGTGTTCTCTTAGAAATATCCTCCTACTACCAAAGGATATAATGGCCATTTTCCAGGATAATCATCCATAGGAAAGCTTGAGTTTTTGCCCTTTCTGCCCAACTTGCCAATTTCATGAATGTAATAATCATCTTCTCTGTCATACTGAGTGAAGCAAGTCAGACAGAGAAAGACAAATATCATATATCACTTCTATGTGAAATCTAAGAAAATGGTACAAATGAACTTATTTACAAAACAGAAATCAAGTTACAGATATAGAAAACAAACTTATGGTTACCAGTGGAAAGAGGGGAGGGATAAACTGGGAGACTGGGACTGACATATACACACTACTCTATATAAAATAGATCATTAATAAAGACCTACTGTATAGCACAGGGAACTCTACTCAATACTATGTAATGGCCTACATGAGCCATTACATCTAAAAAAGAGTGGATATATGTGTACGTATAACTGATTCACTTTGCTATAAACCTGAAACTAACACAACACTGTATGTTGTGTCAACTATACTTCAATATATGCCAGAGTTGCACTGTTACTTCTGTGAACATAATTCTCTTTTTTACATTTTCATTGTTTTGATCAGTTGTAAAATTTTATTTTGTAAAGAATATGACATTTCAGGGATTTCACTTGATCTCTTCAAGTTATGAATAATTTTCTTGCTCATTTCCACCATTTGATCAATGTAGTGGACAGATTTTGAGGTGACTCCAAATGATTCCTACCTCCTGCCCACATCTTTGTATGATACCCTCCCTTTGTGTGTGGTGGGACTATGACTTGCTTCTTCTAACAAATAGAATAGAGCAAAGGTAACGGGATGTCAATGATGTGATTATGTTATACTATATACGAGTCCAACTTAGCAGCCTGGAGCTAGAGTCTTCCTGAGTTTGATGAAATAAGCAGCTGTGTTGGAGAGGCCACACAGCAGGGAACTGTGAATGACCTCTAGAACTGTGGACAGTCCATAGGACCTGAAGTTGGGCGATAGCCAAAAGCCAGCAAAGAGCCAGGGCCTCTTAGTTCTACAACCTCAAGGAAATAAATTCTTCTCACAACCTGAATGAGCTTGGAAGTGAACTCTTCCCCAGTCAAGCGTCCAGATGATAATGCAGCAGCTGACACTTTGACTGCAGAAGACCTAGTTAAGTAGTATCTGGACTGCTGACTGATGAAAACTATGAGATTTATTAATGGGTGTATTTTAAGTTTGTGGTATTTGTTAGGTAGCAACAGATAGAAAACTAATATAAGTGGTAATTAAATCTACTTTAAAGTCCTATTTGCAGAATTTACTATGTGGTAATGCTCAATGTAAGAGTTCTCACACTGTTTCTAGATTTTAAAAATTTAAGTAAATAATCTTTTTGAAGATTTTCTACTGCTTTTAATTCTCTATTGAAAATTATAATCAATGAATAATCAATATTAGTTAAGTAAATTTAAAAATTTATATTTACTTTAACATTTTTACTGTAATCTAATTAAATCTTTTTAAAACTGCATAATTCTACCATTTCCTATCCATCTAGCTGCCTACATAAACAATTTTTATCATGCTTCATGAATTTTGTTTCTATACTTATGATATACAAAATTTAAGAGTAATATGAATTGTTTAATAACACAAAATATTTCTCAGTCTCTGGGAATTTCTCAGTCTCAGCTATTGCAAATATTGCACTAGTTCTACTACCTCTGAAGCCAAACACAAAGAACACAAAGAGAAGCAAGAAAATAGAAGGTTTGCATTATTTGAAGCAGTACTTCATTATACAAGAGCTTATTGCATTCATACTAAAAGGAGAATTAGATCAGTAAATTCATCTTTCCTCAGCCGAAGTGCTCCTACTGCCTGCTCAGTCCTCATCGCAATCTCAAGCAGTTTCCGTCTCTAATGTTGGCAGTGGTACCAGCTACAAAACTTCATGGTATTCAGATGTGAGGTTATAAGCAAGAGATGTGGAGAAGAATTTCTCTGAGCCTTGAACATTATTAAAATACTTTCGTAGCCAGCCTCAAAGATGGACCCTCATGATTCTCACTACCTGGTATTAATGCCCTTGTGTAATGTCCCCCAATTTTGACTCCTGGCTGGCCTATGTGACTAACAGAATATAGAAGTAACAGAATGTGACTTCTTAGGCTAGGTCATAA